CTTAGGTTTAGTTACCAAACGAAGCTGAACGCTGAACTCGAAAAAAAAATGGGCATAGACATTAGACATGCCGTTTGCGGCCGACCGCCGCGCCGTAAAAGTAAACTAAAATAATATTTTTAACTAAATATTGATATTAAATATCGTTAAAGGGCCCAAAAAAGGGTCGGGGCACCCCAAAATTTTCGGCTTCGGTGGATACCAGTTATACCACTCACTCCATATTATTAATATTTTGAGAGATGAATTGAATTTTCCTTGTAAAAGTCTATATTTTTGCATAAAGAGAATTTTTTAAGGACATTCTAAAGGTGTCAGGAGAACGCGTGACCTTGATAATTTTCGAAATTTCCGCCTACGGCGTTATTAGGAAACCACAGATTATCGACTCCCATTGGGTACGCCGATATAAAAACTCCAACTCATGCTGAAAAATGTTCCCAATCTAAAATGACCACCAGTTCTCAGGTGAAGTGCCCCCGCCGAAAAGCACCTCTGGATCCGCCACTGAAACCCGTCAAAATCCGCCATTTGGGGTATTTCTCCTTTATTTACTTTTTTATAAAAACGGCTGATTTAAAACATCACAAAGGGCCAAATGATGAAGTCACAACGGAATGATCAAAAATAACCAATACCGCATTTACGTGAATGGTAATACCATTTTTGACTCGGTTATTAATATTCCATCGAGTTCAATCGGCTCAGGTCTGACATTAAAATTCCCATTCCCACAAAAATACTGTTTAGAAATCCCCGAGACACAAACTGGGAAGAATTGGTACCTAACATCTCTCGAAGGAACGTCTCCAAAGGATAACAGTTAAAAGTAGGAAAAGTTGAAAAGCCAACACAGCTGATAAGCGAAGCAATCACCACGGCTTATCATACCAATTGTCTAGAGAAAAAATGGAAATTCAGTCTGGGGGAACGTTAAACTTGGGCAACTAAGGGAGACCATGAGAAGGCTATTCAATAAAGCTAAAGCCAAGAATGCCTGGGACCTTTATGGGTCAAAACTCACACAGTATAATAAAGAGATACGAAAAGCTAAAAGGCCAAAAGGGACTTGTGGAAGAGGTTCTGCAAAACGGTAAACGAGAACCCTGCATGCTCGAGAATTCACAAGGTTCTAGCAAAAAAAAGAACAAAGCAAACCATGTCGAATTTCTCGAAAAGGAAGACAACGCATACACAAAGACAACTGAAAGCCTAAAATTGCTCATTGCTTTGCTATAGCAACCCGCAACCCTAATAAATAAATCATCAACCATCCGAACCACCGCCCAAAGCAAGGCTGCAAAGACCAGGGAGACGGAAGTGGGAACCACTTAAAGATGTAGTAACACACACGAAGGTACGATATGCCATTAATCAATTTCAACCATTCAAGTCGTCAGGTCCAGACGAAATATACTCAGTACTATTGCAAAAGGGACAGGATATCTTATTGCCACACCTCTGCAGATTATACCTACAGCGCATGGGGCGTGGTACCAAATGGGTGGCAGCAGGTAAAGGTCATATAGACCGATAAGCTTATGCTCGTTCATGCTCAAAACTTTTGAGAGGCTTGTGGATAGGCATATCAGGGACAATAAGTTGCAGGCCTTCCCTTTAAGTGAACGCCTGCCATATAGGTATATACGCATACCAACCGGAAAAGTCGACAGACCTAGTAATGAATGACCTAAATAGGCTGCTCTCAAAGTCAATAGAAGACAAGAAGATAGCTCTGGTCACTTTTCTGGACATAGCAGAGGCATTTATTCATGCCTCAGCAAACTCTATCACAGCAGCGCTCGAGTTGAATGAAGCTCCAACGGCACTGTGCAAATGAATAGAAATTAGTCTGAAGAACAGGACAATACTATCCACACTAGAAAGAGGATGTCCACAGGGTAGAGTCCTATCCCCACTGCTGTGAGCCATACTGGTGGACGATTTGCTCCGGAAACTGACTGAGGAGGGATTTTATTGCCTAGGCTACGCAGACGATTGTGGTACGAGGCAAATTTGCCAACACACTATGGGAAAAAAGCCAAAGGGCCCTCAAAATAGTGGAAAACTGATGCGAACAGGTAAACCAAGAAAAAAAACAGTTGTCCCGTTCACCAAAAGGCGAGTCCTCAATGGACTGAAACCACTGGTGATAAATAGGGAGGAACAAAATTTTGCAGTGATTGCAAATGGATCAATATCGTAGACCAGAACCAGAGGGGTAGAGACGATAAAGCAAATAAGTGGCGTACAAAGGCTAGCGTGCCTGTGCGTTACTGGTGCTAAGAGCAGCACTGGTGGTTTTATTGAACCTTCCACCCATCCAAATATACATACAGGGCGAAACACGGTTCGTAATTTATTGCAAGACTAATAATTTAGCCACAATAGCCGAACACGGCGCCGAACATGACAAGTTATATCGGTCTGGCAAGTGAACATCTCACAGGCCAATTTGAATGCATTAGAATGAAATTCTAGAGAAAATCTAAGGTTAAATAGAAAACGAAAACGATTTCCCCGGCTCCACCTCCAGCATTACAGGCGCTTCATGCTGGCGGTGGAACAGGCGAAATCGTCTTCGTTCTCTATTTAACATTAGATTTTTCACGATATATATTTCATTCTGTTGCATTAAAATTGGCCCGTAAGCTGTGCACTTGCCAGACCTGTATAGGGAGATAAAGGCAAATGATATCCTAGGAAAGCCTACGGAGAGCACCAGAACCTATTATAGCTTTTTCAAACAATACAAAACACAGATTTCAACCAGGGACGATTGGCGAAGTGGCCCTCCAATAAGGGTGGAAACAATCTGGTACACTGATATCTCAAAAACCCAGGATCGACGGAGCTGGAATCTACCAACCTAGGACGAAAACTGGAATTCTGATACCTATGGGAAACCTAGCAACAGCAACAAAGCAGAGATAACTGGAATGGAATAAAAATGAAGAAGAGGAAGATTGGCGATAAAAGGATCGTGATCTATTCCGATAGCCAAGCGGCAATAAAAGCGGTGCAGTCCAACAAAATAACATCAAAGTTAGTTCTTGTGATGTCTGCTGCTCACCTGGTACATACATTATATATTAAGGCCACCAGGCACTTTAGTTATGCTTAGTTTTGTCATGATAATTGTCAGTTAGTTTAATCATAGTCATGTCATAGTTATACTTATTAGGCAATTCAAACCACGTGACTTTCAAGATGGCGTGGCGGCCACACATGGGCCAAAAAACAGAAAAAAAATCAAGAATCTGCTCGATTTATTAGTTTAGGTATCTAGTCAACAAATATTTTATTAAATAGTCCAAATCAAAGTTGCAAGCAAAACTCTAAGCAAAATAATTTGAAATACGCATAAAAACACATTCAAAACAAACTTGCTTGGCCGCCACGCCATATTGAATTTCCCTATCTGACAGATGGATTGAATTGCCTAATTGGAAGTTAGTTAATAAAGTAATTCAACGCTTCTTCATGATTACAATACATTACAGTTCTGGATTGTCATAGGCTATGTTCCGATATCAACTGCCAGTACTGGATTAACTGTGCTGATTTTCCTGTCATTTGCCGTTCCGATTTCAACAGCGTACTCTTGTGGTCATGCAGTACTGAATCGACTGAATCGAGTGTACTGAAAATAATATCGGAACGAAATTAGGCAATTCAAACCACGTGATATTCAAGATGGCGTGGCGGCCACACATGGGCCAAAAACACACAAAAATATCTAGTTTCTGCCCGATTTAATAATTTAGGTACCTAGTCAACAAAAAATTTTCTTAAATAATCAAAATTAAAGTTGCAAGCAAAGCTCTAAGCAAAATAATTTAAAAATACGCATAAAAACATATTCAAAACAAACTTGCTTGGCCGCCACGCCATATTGAATTTTCCATTTTGACAGATGGTTTAAATTGCCTAATAAGGTGACGCTGTCATGGGTACCAGACCAGGGGGCGGATTACACTCCATGCAAATGCATTAGAATGCGTTCGAAATCCATGGCGGTTTCGGTTCGAATCGAGAGTTCGTAATCCGCCTCCAGGGTATGAAAGCCATCAGGGCCATGAAGGCGCTGACAAAATAGCCCGAGAAGGCTCGTCAATGCAAATGACTGGTCCTAAACCCTTTTGTGGGATGGCCAAGCCTAAATTGCCAAAGAATCCATTAAGAAATGGGTGGAAAAAGAATCCCAGAAATGGTAGACACACATGCCGAGACAAAGACAAGCCGGCAAAAAGTTCTTGGAAACCCCATCGGTAAACTAAGAGCAGGCCTACTAAGCCATGATCGGAGGGCTGTCAGAATAATGGATTTGCTGACAGGGCACTGCCGACTGAATAGTCTGAAGGGAGTGGAAGAAAACACAGATTGTAGGTTCTGTCAAGAGGAGGAGACAACGGCAACCTTCGTCTTGTGCCATTATGACGGCGTATCGAGAGTGCGCTTCCGATGTCTTGGCTTAACCAAACGAGAAGGAGCTAGCTACACTACATTGTCGACGTTGTGGAGACCAGAGACTTCAGGGAGATAAAGCTAGACGAGGCTCTATGATATGGAGTGAGTCACAATAGATCCGCAGGGTCGTAGTGACGAACAGCCGGAAAGCTAATCCTCCCAATATCTAGGATTTATTTCATTTCCTCTTAATTTCCAAACTAGAATTAGAATTCTTGTGTAGTACCTTCTTAACGGGACGACCTCGCCCATTAGCATGTCCCCAACCAGCGGAATAAGATGGGGGTGCTCTGTTTCAATAACCATATTTATTCTATAAATAATAACAGTCTACTAAATCATTTTACGTTGCAAACCGCAACAAGATGTTATACTTTGTTTTTGAAAACCAGTTATCTTCTAAAGGATTTCAACATCTAAAATTAACCTTTTATACTTACTGATGCATGATATTAAACATGTTTACGTTAGAAAGAGAAATTATTCAGTCTTGTTAGAACTTTAATTATCCTCAACAAATTCTTACCTACCATAAACATTAACGAAGGTACCGGAGTCAGTCTTTTAACGTCAATCAATGAGATAGCTCTTGGTAGATGACCGTCACGAGCTCCAACAAAAAACAAGCGCGACGATGCAAAAATGGCTCCGTTCAAAGAGCCAAACGTTGCACAGGCAACAAACACTGGCATCAGAAACGATGCAAATCCCAACATTTTGTCACCGAATGTGATGGCTACTGCATCAGACGACAGAATGTCGTTACGGCTCAATACTGCAAAATAGGCTACGTTTGTCACAACGTATATGACTGTGACCACTGGCATGGATATGCAAATTGCTCTTGGAAGATTTCTGAAAATAAAAACCTTATATTTTATGCCTTTAAAAGATTGTAAAAATATTACCTGTATGGATTTTTCAGCTCTTCAGTTACGTAATTTAAATAATTCCATCCTGAGTACGAGAAGAGACCGCTATAAAATGACAGAGCTATGTGCGATGGTTCCCAGTTGGTACCCTCCATTGGAGAGTGAAAGTGGTCCCAGTGGCCTCTGAATAAATGAACACAACCAGCTGCGACGATTATGAGCAGGGCAAAGATTTTTGTTGCTGTGAATGTGTCTGTTACTCTGGTTACCCATCTGAAATATACTAGTAGTAAAAATAATTCCATAAACCAGGAAAATTACCAACAGCAGCCTCAACATTTTCGATTGGATTGACCATCCGATATAATGAGTCCACGTAAATTGTTTTATAAAACTTTGAGTCATTTTCTAGTAATCGTACTGGAGCACTACTCAAGGAACCTCACCCTCAATAATGATATAAACAAATTAGTTGGTACCTACTTACTTAACATTATAACAGTTAATTAACGTCAGTCCACAAATTGTCGCAGCCGCAACCAGTCTTACAGCTTCCACAGGAGCTTTACAGTCTCCCCAAAAGGGCTGTATGATGTATTGAGCGAACGTCATGGCAGTAATGGCGTTGCCAGTAGGAACTAAAATGAAAAGAGCCACCCAAAGGTAGAGGAAAGCTGGTAATGGTCCAAAGGCATCCATAATGTAAGCGTAGTCTCCTCCTGATTTCGGAATCATGGTACCTAGAACAAATGAATAGAGTAGATAACTTAGGTATTACGATATTTATTTGTCTTTAGCTGTTAACACAAACACAGCTAAGAGTTTCCATCTTTTGCGATAATAAAACTGTATATTATGAAGATATTGTCAACAGTCATTTAATAATTCATATAAAATCATAAACCTATTAGTAGGTATTTGATTAAACTTCATGTACATCAAAAATGCTTTGCTGTAGACAGTAGAGTGATGCATGATGATATACCACCAACTTGGTGCTTAGGTTTAATTGGCGACTGGTTTGTCGATACATTTGTTTTGGAAAGTGAGTTGAAATCATACCTTTTCCCTTTACAAATTATAATTAGATTAGGTAGGTACAGGTTCAAATTTTGCCCCCGAGTACCTATCCTACATCTATTAAAAGAAACTCTGGAAAATAAGATTTTCAACTCAGAACTGTTTCAACCAATTTTATATCTTATAATTTATAATTATTAGGTAGGTATCTTATAGGTAGGTACCTACGCATATTTTAACATTGAAGTGACATTTACATAGATATTTAGATTAATAATAATATATTATTGTATAAATATTTATTGTTTAAAACAGTCTGAGTATAATAAACGCAGCAGTAACTATTTGTGAGTCAAATTACGAAACATTGGCGTGTCCAGGATTTTGGTTTAGGGGGGCTGCGTTAACAAAAAGGGTTGACCTAAAAAAAAAAAAAAAGCTGCGCACAATAGTCCATTTCCATGTGCCTAAAGCATTCATGCGCTTATTGCCACATTAGAAATGACGAAGCATTTTAGGATCATTTTACTAGGTAGCTAGAGTTCACCGAATATACCTATCCTTTCTTTTTTTTTATAAAGTAGAAAAGGACGAAAATAGGTCATAGGTTGTGACTAGTTTTTTACAATAAACTATAAACTACACGTACCTGAAATAGTACCGACCGTTGTCGGATATGGCATTATTTGTCATCTCTCTCAGTGCGTCCAAAGATAGCTATATAGTGGGGGATACCTTTCTCTCTCTAGTTCATTGACATTGCTGTTAGGTTTGGTGCATATTCCTAACCTTAAATATAATATTTTTTAGACAAGGAAAGATTTTCATAATAAGGTAAATAGAGATAGGTATCCCCCATATTTTCCATCTCAATTTGCCTCATTTTATAGATAGGCTGGGCGGGCCATTCCAGGTACCTACATGTAGTTTGTAGTTAAATGGTTTTTTATCAGCCATATTTTGGAATGGTTTACTAATGAGAAATTCGGCATCCTCGCATGTTTGCGAAAGTGACGTCCCTTTCCTATCCCGCGTTTTCGCAGCAGTTTAAAAATTCGATTTTTTTTTTTGGAAAACATATACAGATGTTATTAGAATGACTACCTAACAGATTAATTTAAAAATGTGAAAGTTGCCTATTTTTGTCAGGAATTCACCAGTAACATACCCAAATGTTACGCGTCAAGTATCGTATTACGCGCGTTTTTTTTTGCGGGGCGTCAAAAATTTTCGCAACCGGCCACCTATTCGATTTTTTTGGTAAGGAGGAGAAATTTTGTTCACGGAGCTCCTTCTCTCCAGTCCTCATTCTTGAGACCGGGGAGCTACGTTCCCAGGAGAACGAGTATTCCGTCTTTGTTACTTATATTATCAGTTGTATATCATTGAGAAAGACGGAATACTCGTTCTCCTGGGAACGCTGCTTCCATGGCCCTTATTCTTGAAACAGGGAAGCAGTATTCCCATGAGAATAACTGTTTCGTCTGTGTTACTCATATTATCATTTGCGCATATCATTGAGAAAGACAGAGCAATCGTTCTCATGAGAACACTGGTCCCTGGTCTCAAGAATAAGTAGCCTGGGGTCCGATTCTTGTCTCAGGGAGTAGAGCTTTCCGAGGAGAACACATTTTACGTGTTTATCATTCTCTTTTACTTTCCGATTACGTTGACAAGGACAAAACATGCGTTCTATAGGAGAGCTCTACTGCTCTACTCCCTGAGACGAGATTTGGGCCCCTAAGGAAGGAAGTATTTCGGACATTCAAGATGATTAAGGCCGCGTTAATGGCCGCCATGTTTAAATTTAGTTTTTGAAAATGACGACTGCGTCACTCTACACATAGGGTTCATTATTTTATTATTTGTCCAAAACAAAATTTGTTTATCGGTGAAACACTCAGTGACAGAGAAAGACAAATATACAATTATGATGCTCCCAATGTAGCTTTTTCGCCGTGGCGCCATCTACTTGAAATTGCTTGAACTGTTTTCACCTTCAAAATTCGTTTTAAAGTCATCTGAAAAAATCCGCAATAATTTCCAAAATCCTTTGGCATAAACATTATGTGATATATTATCTACTATCTCTACAATTAGCTTTTTTTACTTTTTCGTGGTTATCAATAAAATATGCTTTTCACGGATCCAAGCTTGATAAACATGCAAATATGCAACCACCAACACATTTAATTGTTTTGGTGGTCGCGAACATGATTTTTGAATTTAAAAAAAAAGGCTGAATATTGAAAAACCAAAATAAGGAATTGTAGATAATCGATCAAATAATGTTTATGCCAAATTTGAGCCAATTCTGATATGCCGTTTTTTTAAAGACCTTAAAACAAGTTTCGAAAAATCAACCAATCACAGTTTAAACATGGCGGCCATTCACGCGGCCTTAAGATGAAGCTCTGATTCTCTTGCTGCATTAGGCGCCCGCCATAGAAAAACCTTATTATAGAAAGAAAGACATTTTATTTCTATTTTTTTTATACAAAAACTTTACATGTCAATAAAATACGCTGAAAAAAAAAATAGTCTAGACTTGCCTTGGGGGGGCTGCAGCCCAACAGCCCCTCCCCTGAGCCGCTTTCCAGTATGGGAGTGTGACGCGTCAACCTATCAGCTGTCACATCTGTGGGTGGCTATTTACCTATTTATTTCTTGTTATATCTCAAGATTGAACATTTTTAAATATATAGTTTTGATTCTCTTCCATTTTTGATAAATAAAAAAAACAAACTGCACAAACAAACAGATAATTATTTTTAAAATTTGACATATTTGACACTAAAATAGGCGTCTCACGCCATGATACTGGAACGGTACAAATCTAGTGCGTGGCGCCCCCGAGGTACTCTGGAGCGCGCCAATGTGCATACTGGAAAGCGGCTCTGGATACGCCTATGTTACGAAATAACATCGAAAATAACCGAATAGGGAAAAATTTCCAGTAAAATTTATTACTAATCGATATTAACATTTCGAATTTTTGACTCGCTTTTAAAGAACCCAGTTTTGGTTCTCCAAACATCAATGAAACCGATCAATTTAATTTATATTGTTTCAGAAACTTTCATTCAATATAGAACTGAGATTTGGAAAAATGAAAACAAAATTGAAATCAAGAGAATTAAAACTATTCTGGAAACAAATAGGAGGAAGTGTCACTAAAAAAATGCGGAAAAAAAAACTAAATTTTCTCATAAATCCAACCCAGAAAACTAATTGTAAAGACCTATAGTATCTATGTATTATATTTTTTTGAAAACTTTTCTTATCATCAGACCTACATTTTTCCAAACAGAAGCCAAATATTATTAGGTTAAACAGAAGATAACGTATGTGAATTTCAAACCACTGGTGTGTGGTATGTTTTTGATAAGTGCATGCATAATTCCGTTCATTTAATCAAGCACATGGAATATAAAGTAAACGTATGGCATGGCTGACTGGCTGATTGTTAAGCAACATCCGTGGGCAACATCATATAACAGTAGTTAATCAGTGACGACATTATTACATAAAAGTTCGAAACTCAATTACGTCAGCAAATAATTATGTTTTTACAAATTTGGAATAAAAATTAGCATATTATAAAAAAAATAGTAATGAATGAAAATCAACTTATACCCTGGTGCAAAGAAAAAGTGCGGTTGAAGATTCTTTCTTTGGATTGGTGTGAATCAGTTGTCGTTGCCCCTAAACCAAATAATGAAATAAGATTATGCGTTGCCTTCAACCAGTTAACAAATAGGGGATAAAATAGAAACTTTTTCAGGCCAGATGGAGAACCATAATAGCTCGATTAAGCCGCGTCCACATTAGTAAAAATCTACGTTGTGCGTGGTATTCGGCACAAAGTGTGGGCGATGCAAATTTATACGAGTGTGGACCTGTTCGCCGCATACGGACGCACGCAAAAATTTTCGCGACATTCACTGCACGCGATCTGCGGCTTGTCGGTTTTTTTCAACACATCAAAGGGATTTGCTGCGCAACATCGTTCTAGTGTGGACGCATTCTTTTGCGAATGAAATAAATAACCAAGAACAAGCAACGCGCACACTGAAATAAAATATGCATACACGCGTTGAACAAGAACGCACGGCGTACAACACAAATATTTATGTCGGTCGAGATGCCAAATTTGCGCCGCAAAAGTTTGTGGCGAATCCCGAATTCAACGCATCGCATTTATTTGCTAATCTGGACGCGGCTTTAGATGCTGCTAAAATTTTTAGTGAAATTGATGCCAATTGTGGTTTTTGGCAAGTGACACTTGCTGAATACCTTTAGCTCTTAGTCCATTATTATCACCTTCCGGAAGTTCTGGGTTCTGGTTTTGAAAGAATGGCATTGCATTTGACCACTGCTTTAGATTCTTTTCGCAAAAAGATAAGTCAGCTGTTAGAAAATCTAGAAACAGGTTCATAACGTGTCATATAGATGAAGTCACAAAACATGGAAAAAAGGAAGAATTAAATCAAATCATTCAAATCAACTGAAATAGCTATTTACCTAACAAGTGCGGAAAATGAATTTTTCCGCACGCGGCTGCCGTGCACCGAACGACGCGTAGCGGAGTTCGGTGATGCAGCCGAGTGCGGAAAAATATTTTCCGCAAGTGTTAGGTACTAGCTATTTACCGCACTCAGTGCGGTAAAGATTCTTTACCGCACTGTAGCAAAATTTAGAAAAAACATACAAATAATGT